TCCGTCTCCCAGGCTCAAGTGATTCTCCTGCCTCCACCTTCCACGTAGCTAGGATGACAGGCACGCGTCACCACGCCCAACTAAGTTTTGTATTTTTAATACGGACGGGGTTCCACCATGACGGCCAGGCTGGTCTCGGACCCCTGACCTCAGGTGACCTGCCCTCTTGGCCTCCCAAAGTGCTGGGATTACAGGTGTGAGCCACCACATCCAGCTTCATTTGTCATTTTGAGGCTTGGATTCCTTAAGACACACAGGACATGGGCCATGCGTGACCTTCAGATTCCTGTGGCCAAGCGGAGGCTTCCAGGGAGGAGGCTCTGGTGTGAAACGTCCTCCCCAGACCCTTTGGGAATGCAAACGCAGACACTGTGCCCGCCCCACACACACTCTCTGCAACGGGACAATATTCTAGTATTGCCTTTTAACTCTACGTTCCTGGAAAAGAAAATCAAAACCCAAACAAAACAAGTGAAAAACCTGCACACACGAAGTAAGTTCTTTCTCCATCCTCACGGGCCTCCGGCATCAGCGTCACCGCGCACGGGAGGAGCCCCAGATGGCACCGGCTGCCTCAGCACAGCGCCGCACACGAAGCCAGCAGCAAAGCCCTGAAGTGACTCAATTCACCGACCCCCGGCTCTGGTTCTGGTCAGGCAGAGGGAAGCCCCTCAAAACGGCCGGGTCTCCAGCCCCGTGAGGACATCCAGGCACCGGCCCAGACCCTCCGCCTCCTCCCTGCACGCAGCCCTACAAGGCACCGCTGTTTGGTTCGCAGGGCGCTGGAGACTAACTCCGTGCCTCCCGGCAGGCTTGCTGGCCCTGGAGGCAGCGGCGGGGCCAGAGGGTGGCAGAGAGAAGCCAGGGAAGCTGGGCACCAGGACCCGGCGGGGCTTCCGTCACCTGCGATGCCACAACCTGCCACAGGAGCCTCACGGGGCTCAGGGCCGGCCAGCAGGTCCCGGCTGCCCGTCCCTTCGGCCTGTTTACAAACACGGTCGGGGCATCTGAGTTCCGCCCCAGCCCCAGCCCGCTTTCTCTTCTGCTTCCTCCCACCCCAGTGTTCCTCACTTGCCTGTTGCATAAACACACACACGCAGCGACCCCTTTCCACCCACTGAGGGCACGTGCCGACCTCTGACCTGGGTTTCCCGACTATTTCTGCCTCCCATCTCCAGTCCTTCGCCGGGTGCTGGGATCGTCCCTTGGTGGGGGGCCCTGTGCTCCCCACTCCTCTCCACTCCCCCACTCCAGACCACCGCTTTCTAAGCCAGCAGCTGAGCCCCAGGGTGGGTGCTGAGGTGCCCAATTCTCTTAGGGAATGTGAAATTAGACAAAATATACATTAACACTAAACCAGCATCACCCATACCCTAGCCCGTCTCATGCAGAAGTGGCCCCTGCGTGGCCCCCCACATTTCCCTGGAGCTCACGGGTCTGGGGGACTCAGGGGTCCACCTCGTGATTCAGGTCTTCATCCTGCATGAGGCTTTCCTGGCCCCACCTGGGCCCCAACCTCTGTGTTGTGGTGTTTGTGAGCCTGGGGTTTGGGTTCCACCTCGGGGCAAGCCAGGGGTCATCTGCAGGGGAAGGGCCAACCCAGACTCAACCCGGACCCAGGACCCTTCCCGGCCATCTTGGGGACGCTCCAGCCATCTTCTCACAAGGACAGGCAGCACCCGGGACACCCCATGCACCCGGGACTCAGGAAACGGCTTGGCCCACATCACTCTCAGTGAAGGCTTTGTCCACTCATCTCCAACAGAGCAATAAACAGTCGAATCTGCTCTTTTCACCAGGGAGGCACAGGCGTCTAGAGTGGGTGGACCTGCCTCCAGCTGCTCAGGACGGACCTGGAGCCCACAGCCTGGCGCCTGTCTCATGGGATGGCAGCAATGTCAGGCCTGCACCAGGCTCCCCCTACCCTGACCCAGAGCCTTGGCCTGACCAGGGTCCCCCATCTCACTCCCTCAGCCCCTAGGACTCTCCCCTCCCCTTCACACCCACCCTGAGCAGAACTTCCTCTGCGACCCGCCCCACCTGCCCGCCTCTGAAGGACGGAGAGGGGCTGTCTGTCCACGGGGACAGGAGGCCAGGCCATGGCTGATGCTGCTTCCAGCTGCCCAAAGCCTGAGCTCCTGCAGTCCTGGCTGAGCATCGAGGGACCTCGCAGGTGCAGATGAAATGGATGACGCTCACCATGGCGCAGGGAGGTGTCTGCACAGGTGTCTCGACCTCCACCCCAACCTGACCCCCAAAACAGCACTGCCTAGTGCCATACACTAAACCAAAGTGCTTGTGTGTGGCTGGCCCCGTATTATGGAAATAGAATGAACACAGCACCCGTAAACTGCGCTCGGGGTCTGCGCTGGAGGCTCCGGGGCCAGCCTTGGGCCTGATAAGACATACGTGGACCGGAAAGTGGGAGGCGGGCGCCAGGCTCCAAGGCCATCTCTGCTTTGGCAACACGGAAACCCCTGGGGCTTCTGAACAGGATGTGACCCACAAGATCCGAGTTCCGGGAAGGTCACCACGGCCGCAGAGCACGAGGAATGGGGAGAGGGGCCTGCCGGGACGTGAGCTCACCCAGGGGAGGGGCTGTCCCCAGTGTCCCGAGGGCAGGAGCAGCAGGACTCAGGGCGACAAACTGTCTTGAACAGGGCGACAAGCGCTTTGCAGCGGGCACGTCACGGGCTCCAGCGTCCCCTAGGTGGTCAGGGGAGGTGCCCACGGGATGTGTCCTCGGGCACCTTCAGAGGATGTGCAGGCCAGGCCCAGACCCACAGCAGATGCAGCCCAGCCTCAGCCTTCCACATGTCCAGGGGCCATCTGTGGACCCCACTCGCCTCTCCCGGGTCCCATTCCCTCTATGTCCATGCACAGTGGGGCCAGCCAGGGCAGGGCCACACTCACACTTACGCAGCAGTCTGTGCCCTCAGACAGCCCAGCTCCCGTGGTCCCCAAGGCCAGCCTGGCTCACTTAGCTTTGAGCTCTAGGACCAAGGCCTGAGGGGCCTGGGCCACTTGGTGAGGCGTTGGCAGAAATGGGTGGGGTAGGGACGCCAGCCCCGCCCACTGTGTTGACATGGAATATGCCCTCGTCCCCAGCAACCCCCTCAGTCTCGCCTGCCCCGAGCTCCACCCTCGCCATAGAGCCACACGTGGACCCCGGGCAGCTGAAACACCAGCGAGACCTACTTCCCACCTAAGCCTGCAGGGCGCTGCCCAGACGTGGGAGCCCAGGGCTGGCTGGTCACAGCTGGGACAAGACGTGGCGGGCAGGAAGAGACCACGTGAGACAAGGCAGGGGTGAGGGATGGGAGGCGTGGCCGTCAGCGCCCCCCTCGGCCGGCGTCCACCCACGCAGTGTCCAACTCACGCAGAGGCTGGGGGTGAAGGTGGAGTCTGTCTGTGCTCAGCAGGCAGCAGTGCAGGGACACAGCCCATGCAGAGCTCTGGCGGCCTTGTGGGTGGACGAGGAGGGCAGCGGGCAGATCAGACAGGAAGAGCTTCAGGACAAATCTGCGCAGGACACAGACGTGGTCCCGGCCCCGCCCCACGGTCACCACAAACCTCCAGAGAGTGGCCGGGGCAGCCATGGGCCTCCAGGGTGGTGTCGAGGGATAGCCCTGGGGAGGCAGCAGCCTCCTGAGCAGACAGGTACACTCCTGCAAGCCCAAAAACAGACGGTGGGGGCTGCAGGCTCCACGGGACACACTCCTGCAAGCTCATACACATACACACACACACACACACACACCAGGGCTACATGGACACACTCCCACAAGCTCACACACAGACAAAGTCCAGGCCCCATGAAATACACTACCTCAAATTCACACACACACCAGGGCTCCAGGCTCAAAAGTTGAAAATTTGGGGGGACTGAAGTATCTGCATGCATCCTCCTTAAAAAGCTTGCAGCCTGCAGTCAGAAAGCAGCAGGAAGGCGTTTGGCAAGGCCTCACTCCCTGCCCAGCAGACGGGAAACCCAGCTCCGGACGCCCCGGAGTCCCGCCCCCGAGGTCAGGAGAGGCTGATGCTGCCCCCTCCCTGGAAGGCCAAGGCTTGCCTGGTCCTCAGGCCTCGGGGCAGGAAGTGAGCAAGGCTCTGGTGTGTCTGCTGGAACCCTGGCCTGGGAAACGTCTTACACTCAGGAGGACTCACTGTGCCCCTGACGGGAACGAAGCCCAATCCCCACACAAACCACGCAGGCAGGGCTGGAAAACAGACCGAGCCACACTCTAACGTGCCATCACCAGGGCTGCGGGTGCCTCCCTGACCACAGTGTGACCGCACGCAACTTGGGCTGGGCCGTCAAACAGAAACGCTCGCCAAAAACACAGCGGCGTTTGGTCAGCCCTGCTCACAGGAAGGACTGCGTGCTTGCCGGGGTTCCCGCGCCACACGCCTGGCCACAGATGTGAGGCCACTTCCTTCCCACGCAGCCCCAGGTGCGCGGTGTTCAGTGTGCCTCCATGCTGCGGGAGCCTGGACAGGGGCGGTCACGTGCCCAAGGCCTGAAGGCGCCGTCCCGGGCCCCCAGTGTCACGGCGTCCTCCAAGGTCCTGCCAGGCGGACACGGTCGTTAGACGTGTGCACAGAGCCACACAGAGCAACGCGCACACCCCCCGGCTAAGCTGTCGTCTGCAAGCCATCCACGGGACTTGGTGGCACCCGCGATGCCTGACCGCAGAGGCCGGCGCCTCCTCTAGCCAGGGCTTTGAGCCTGAGCTTGAGCCGAGCCACCCAGTCAGCCGAAGTCGCAAACCTGGGCACGCGGCATGAGCCTCAGGCCCCGGGGCAGGCTTCGCAGGGGGTCTGCAGCCCAGGGACCCGCGGGAGCCCCACAGCAACACATGGGCACAGTGTGTCAGGAGGACACACCCACGCCCCGCCCGGCCGGGATGCTTGTCCCTGAGCCACAGGCACGCGTCTCCTCCACGAGCTCACGACACGGCGCCGGCTGGGCACACATCGGCGTGGCCGCGGGCACTCACCGTCGTCCAGGTACAACTGGTCCAATTCTTCTGGCTCTCGCTTGACCGTTACAGGAATAGGGGCCAAATTAGGACTACCGTCCTCACGGGCCTCTGGCAGCAGCCGGGGCCGGGCGGTTGGAGACTCGTCCCTGCGGACCGTGGGCGGCGGGTGCTGTAGGCGGCCCGTGGCAGGTGGGCACGCTGGGCTGCAGGGCTGCAGGTAGGTCGGCTCTTGGGCGGCGGGCGGGAGTGGAGGAGAGGGGCTGCTGGGGCAGAGTGAGTGTTCGAGCCCAGGGGGGTGGCTACCGCTCGGAGGCGCACTCACCTGCTGCGGAAGCAGGGCCGGGGGCGCCTGTCCGGGAGAGCCGGGGTGCGCGGCCGCTGGCCTGGGCACGTCCTGGACGGTGGGGGTGATGGTGGGGGCCTCTCCGGCCGGCGGCGGAAGCCCCAGGTGACAGTGGCCCGAGCTGGTGATGGCCTTGGAGTACGCAGTGGGAGAAAAGTCCTGGAGCTTGGGGCTCGTGCCGGGGGCTGCTGGCATCAGGGCGCCTCTCCGCGGACAGGCCGGGACGCCGGCCACGAGGCAGGAGCTGGGGTCGGGCAGCGTGGTCAGCGGCTGGCTGAAGTACGGTCTCGGGAGCGGACTTAACCCCTGGCTCACCGGTCCACAGGTTGGAGCAGGCTCAAAATCGTCAGTGGGTTCTGTTTTTATAATTGGAACTGTGAGAAGGGAGAGAAAAGTTAGGTCAACGTGAGTTGCAGATGGGTATGATCGGACAGGCTGGCGGGGGACGCCCTCCGCAGGGCCAGCAGCCCTGACTGGGCCCTTCTGTCTCCTGCCTGGTTCTCCCACCCCATTAAAAAAAGGCATGAGTCATCGGCCCAGAGCGGCAGCTGGTTCTAATACCGGCCAGGACTGTTTTCCTTGGCCTCTCCGCCGGCTCTAACGCGCTATAAAAGTCCACTTGCAAACGGCAGTGGAAGCCCCGGGCCCAGGGGCCTGTGGATTTGTAGGAATCAAAGCGAACATCTGAACTTGGACGCACGATGGCATGTCTGCTCCCGACACTAGGCGTGGTAAACTCGAACACACAACAAGACAGCTTTCAGGAGTCCGTAAAACTCCAACTGCAAAGGGGAATGACCACTAAGGGCGAGAAGCGTCCGTCACTGAGACAGAAAGATGCCCTCGCTGAGGATGCAGCCCCTCCACGGCCCCTCCCAATCCCTCTCAAAGGGGTGGGCTGTGTGCAGGCGGTGACCCAACAGCCTACGACGGAACACGGGGCTCCTGAGTTTCTGGAGACTTCTCCCACACAGCCCTCCCGAGAAAGCAGGGGCCATGGGGAAGAGCCTGCAGGCCAGGCACCGGGTCCCCAAGGCTGCTCTGCCAGGCCTGGCCCAGAGCCGACGCTGGCTCCCGCCTCGCACCCGTGCCTTGCACCCACCCCGGCCTCTGCACCGGCTTCTGTGGGGTGCCGGGAAGGCGGCGGGCAGGGCGTGCAGTCAACAGAGCGGCGAGGCAGATCCCAGCCAGCATTCCTGCGGCTGCTGTTTTCCTGTTGGTCTCAGGCCTCTCGTGCTACTTAGAAGAGACACAGACGGCTCCGTTGCTCTGAGGCCCTCGCCACGGCGCACGTGAATTCCCAACAGACGTGAGGCGCCACTCTGAGCGAACGCGGCGCGGGCCGTGAGCTATCATCAGGTCTCCTCGTCCGTTTTCTCCTCCCCGTGAGCTGCACACCAGTGGGTTCTGACAGTGGGGTTGGCCACAGGGAGAGAAACTTCCATCCCCACCTGGGGCCTTCACGGGGCCCCCAAAACCTGCACACAGGCTCCCTGCGCAAACACTGACAGCCGCTGAAGGCCCAGGCGGCCTCCCGCGGTCAGGAGAAGCACTTCCACAACTGGAGAGGACACCTCTAGCCCTGGGCTTGAGCCTGCGAGTCCACGCAGCCGTTCCCACGACAGCCGGGGTGCCGAGGGTCGGCCAGCAGCTGCGAACGACGCAGACACGTTTTCATGCAGCGCACGGCGCGAGAGCCCCTGTGCTACCTGTGGCCTCCCCTGCGGCGCCCACCACAGATCCAGGCGGCCACGAGACCTGGGAAGAGCTGTCCACGCTGGCCACGCCTCCTCCCTGCCACATGGGGGCCATCACAGGGAGTAACCCACGTGGGCCGTCCCCAGCTGCAGCATCTCACCAGCCTCCGAGTCCAAGGAGGTCAGCCGACACCTTCAACCCTGGGATTCCACAGAGTTGCTGCATTTCGTTGTTTTTGTGCTCTGACTTGTCAATTCCCTCCTTTCATTCACTCATTCAAATCCTTACTTCATCCACTCTGCACGCGTGTAGGGAGCTGACGTTTAAAGCATCTGCCGCATAAAATGTGGCACGTATCCACCATGGAATACTATGCAGCCATAAAAAATGATAAATTCACATCCTTTGCAGGAACATGGATGAAGCTGGAAACCATCATTCTCAGCAAACTGACACAAGAACAGAAAACCAAACACCGCCTGTTCTTACTCATAAGCAGGTGTTGAAAAATGAGAACACACGGACACAGGGAGGGAACATCACACACTGGGGCCTGTTGGGGGATGGGGATGCTAGGGGAGGGATAGCAGGGGGTGGGGGATGGGGGGAATACCTAATGTAGATGACAGGGGATGGGGGCAGCAAACCACCATGGCCCGTGTACAGCTATGTAACAATCGTGCACGATCTGCACATGTGCCCCAGAACTTGAAGTGTAATAGAAATAAAAAAATTAGAAAATAATAAAGCGTCTGCCGTGCACGCTGAGTAGGGAGGCCGAGATTTGAGAGGGGTGCTGGCGTCTAGGAGGCAGGAGGAAAATCACATGGCCACCATGATTCCAAGGCTGTCCCAGGACGCGGCCTGCAGCTCCCTGACTGGGGCCCGTCCATCCAGCCAGGCTCTCCTGAGGGTCATGCCGGCCTTCCCCGGGGCTTGCAGACCTGGCATCGCCAGCCTTTGGCCCGAGAAAGGTTCAGCCACAGCTACCGCAGCGAGTGTGGCCCGAGCTGTCAGGCACGCACGAAGGCCGAGGTCGGGGCTGCGTCTACAGGGGCGCCCAGGGCGGGGTGGGATGGGTGCTCCCCAGCCTTGTCCACTCTGCAAGCACCACTGGGGTCACGCTGGAATCACACCCCAGGTAGCAATGGCCACGTTCAGGGTGACATCACAATTCAGTTGTCCCAGCGGTGAGGTCTAGCCAGTTCCATCTGAAGCTGCCGCTGCTCTGGTGTCAACTTTGGGAGGAGCTACAGAACGCGTCAGCGCCTGGCACGAGCCCTGGAGTGCCGGGTCGGTTCCTGCGGGGAGGTCTCTGCTTCCAGCCACCTGAGTGTGGCCTCCTGGGGCCGCGTCTTCAGCAGAGGGTTCACAGATGGGGCAGAGCCCAGGACTGCCTGCACAGGTCGGGGCTGCTGAGGGGAGGGTGCCCTCATGCTGACCAGGTAACCCCATCCCCCTTGCTTCTCGTTAGAAAGTCAAATATCTGAGCCATGGGTGGCAACACCTTTTTTAAGGGGTGGGGGAGTCGGTGCCTGGGGGGAGGGCTCTGACCGCCGTCTGGAGACCCCAGGGCTGGGGACATTTTCATCCAGGGGACATGTGTCGGCTTCAGGCCGTGCCCCCATTGGCTCTGTGCAGGCAGCTGGGCCTCGGAACCGCCTGTCCTCCGGTTCCAGCTTCAAGCTTGAGAGCCCACGACAAAGCCGGACTGTGGGGAGACCTGGGGCAGTGCGTGGCCAGTGTTCTCCCTGAACTCAGGCCTGCGCCTTCCAGAGGCGCTGGGGTCTCCTGAAACAGGCCCAGACGTGGGAGCGCGACACTGGTGGGCACCCATATCACCGCTGCTCAGAAGAGGCTGCTGTCCTGAATAGCCCAGCCTCCACTCTAAGTAAGGCTGGTAATTTCCAGTTTATGATCTTAAGCAAAAGCACATGGCTGGAAGGTTAAATTAATGCCCTGTGGGGATCCTCTCTTCACACACGGGATTTTCAGCCAGGGCCCAGAAACGTGGCCAGGCGTGGGGGCCAGCATGGCTCTTTTGTAAAGTGTCCCTTGCGCTCTTTTATAGCTCTGCCTGACACTGGAGGCACCACCCCAGCACAGCTGTCCCATAAATGACCGTGGCCATAAATTAGCCACCCCATGGCCCAAGGCTGGTGATTCCAGAGAGTCGGCGGGCTGAGCGGCCGGGTGGCGTCTGCTGCTGCTGGCCAGAGCACGCTGGAGAACCCCGCGCAGACACGGCCCACTGAAAAGCACAGTGGCACTGGCGTTCACTCCTGCACCTCCCCAGCCACCTGGATTCCTCCTCCCGGGGAAGTCCCGGCCCAGGATGGTGGTGGTGAGGGGCACATGGCGCCAGGACACGTGAGCCACCTCCCTGGGATGCTGGCAGCCGGCGGGGCGTCAGGACACAAGGGTTACTTGCCCTGCGGAACGGAGCAGGCCCAGTGCTGATGTGCCCGCCACCCCAGGGCAAGCAGAGGCCGAGTGGACGCTTCACGGGGACCCCGCCAAGTCTAGGTAGCTCCGTCGCCGCATCCACAGCAGGCGCTCCCTCTCTTCCCAAGGCCCCAGACTCCAGCCAGAGGCTGCAGCAACGTGCGCCTCTCAGGAATGAACTCGTGTGCCTGTGACCGAGATGGTCCCACGCCGCCCGCTGCTGCCCTCCTTCCCAGAGCTATTTGCAGAGAGCTGGGGGCGGCGACTTCAAACCCAGGGGCACCACATGTGCCCCGCCCATGACAGCATCTTGTGAGTCTCAGCCGGTCAGGGTCCCTTGGCCCAGGGGGGCCTGTGCGTGAGCTTTGACTGACAGCTGTCCCAGGGTCTGGCACGGCACCCAGGCCTGATGGGTGGAGAATAAAGGCGGGAAGGGATGGGTGAACGGCACCACCCGAAGCCACACACTGCAGGCGGCACCTTTGTGTACCGTCCAGTAAACGCCCTTCCCTGGACCTGCAGCCTCACTGAGCACGTTCGTGGAAGATCTGAGGGCAGCGACCTGCAGCTGGGATGGGACACGCCAGCTTCTGAGGCTGCACACGTGAATTCCCAACCACACACCACTGGCCGTGTGATGCTGAGACCCCTAAATCCCATGAGCCCGTCTCCCCAGCTATAAGGCAGAGGTGACAAGACCTGAGAATGAAAATTGGCCTGAGTGATACGGCAGCAGGTGAGAGCCCACGCAGCCCCGGCTTCCTGAGGTTGGTGCCTGCAGCTCCCGGCTCTGGGGGCTCTGTCTGCAGCACAGGGGGCCCTGGGGGTGCGCAGGCAGGGGGCAGGGGGGGCCTGGAGGTGGGCAGGTAGGGGGCCTGGGGGTGGCAGGGGGCCCTGGGGGTGGACGGGGGGGCTTGGGGGTGCGCAGGCAGGGGGCAGGGGGGGCCTGGAGGTGGGCAGGTAGGGGGCCTGGGGGTGGCAGGGGGCCCTGGGGGTGGACGGGGGGGCTTGGGGGTGCGCAGGTAGGGGGCAGGGGGGGCCTGGAGGTGGGCAGGTAGGGGGCCTGGGGGTGGCAGGGGGCCCTGGGGGCAAGAAGGGGCCCTGGGGATGGGCAGGCAGGGGGCAGGGGCAGGGGCAGGCCCAGCCCTTCAGCTTTAGACAAGTGGGGTCACTGCTATGGATGGAATCATGTTCATTCAATCTCGTGTTGAAGCCCTAACCCTTGTCCGGT